TGATACTGTGATGAAAATGCATGGTGGGAAGTTTTGGTTAGAAGGTATCTATAAAATATTTTTCCAAAGGACATCCTAAAAGAGAGAAATTGAACTTCTTTCCAAAATTGAATTTTGAAGACATGGATTTAAGAGATGAAAAAAATCACTATCTTTTATTATGTGTAGTTGCAAATCATATATACCAAAATGGAAAAACATAATTACAATAAGATCTTGTAGAGTGCTGCTATTTGTACATTAATTTTTCTTAATATATTTTAAAATTTTAACATTTAATGAAATTATTTAAATACTCGTTAGTTAATTACCCTTTTGTCTTTTACATTTTATTCTAGAAATTTAATTTTTGAAAACTCTTAAAAGTTTTTGAAAATATATGTCCGAAAGTTCTTAAAAACTTTCGGACATCTATTTTCGGAAACTTTTAAGAACTTCTAGAAATTTATTTTCTAAAATTTTGAATTGCAACCAAACATTTTAACATAAAATCTTATGAAATTAAATACAAAATCAAACAAAAAAGTAAAATAAACAAATGATTTGCCTTTAATTTTATGCTTTTTAACTTCAAATTGGTGAAATTTTCTTTGAATTTGGCTTGATTGAAGCTTAAAATCCTTTAGGTTTTGGGTTGGAAAGAGAGAAAAAATGAAGTGTGAGGAGATAGAATGTTTGTTTCTGATAAATTTGTATTTTAGATTTGAAGTGTATTGAGTAAAAGATTGAGTGTTAATAATAGGAAGGTGTAAAGAAAAAAAGTTTGGATACAAATAGCACCACTCAAACTTATATCTTGAATCAAATTAAACTTGTTCAAGGGATAGATCAAATCATGTTTGATAAGCTTCTTAAAGGATTGGGCTCGGTTCCTTAAGTTTAAGAGATTCAAAATTTTCAATACATACATATATACATATATATATATTAAAATATTAAAAATTTTAATAATTTAATATTTTAAAATTAAAATTAAATTAAAAATTATTTTTATTAATAAATTAATATTTTAAATTCTATCAGGCTCGAAAATCCCTATCCAAACCCAATTTGTGGACAAATCTAAATCAAATTGATGGTTTATCTTTACTTTTTAATTTTAAAGCAAAATTAGTATGCACGTATGTATATATATATATATATATTTATTTATTTATTTACTCACATATGACATAGTAAATAACAATTATGTGAGCTTGAATATTCGAATAATAGGAGATTATAATTAACATTTTTCAACTGAAAATTATGTACATAATAATTCTAAATAAACGTTTGAACTAAGAAATATGCAGTGCAATCTATATACTTGGGTAACCATAATTACTAGCTGCTTTTAATCTACAATAATCACTTTCCCTGTCCAAAACATCTTCAACATGTAGATATTTTCTTGTCAATTCAAACCTTCTCACAACTGTTAAAATTCTTGACTTAGTCCAAAATATCGCTTACGATTACTAGTTTCAAGTGGCACCTCCTTGTCACAAATCATGATCATAAGCAATTAATAATTTAGTATTTGGGATTAAAAAAATTAAGTTTGGGAAGATTAAATTATGATTAATCATTTGTCTAATTCTCTATGTTCACATTTAAACGGAAATCTTAAACTCTATTTGATTTAAGAAAATATTTCTGTTTTTATTTTTTATTTTCATTTTTTAAAAATAGTTTTTATTTTCTGTTTTTTGTTTTCTACAAAATGTATTTGGTAAATGAAAATAATTTTTTTTAAAAAATGTAAAAATAAGAAAATAAATAAAATATTCAATGATATTGTTATTAATAGTATTTAATTATAAATATAAAAATATTTATTAATTAATGACATTAAAAAGTGTTTAAATATAGTAACTTACAAAATATTAAAAAAAATTAATGTATATCTCTTGTTTTCATAAATAAAAACATCTTTCGTTTTTTTTTTTCATATTTCAACCCATTTTTCAAAAAATTATTTTCATTTTTAATTATCAAATACGTTTTCACTCATATTTTTTATTTTTTCAAGAAAATGAAAACAGAAAATGACCCTATTTTTTAAAACCAAACACTACCTTAGCTTCTCATATATTAAAGCAACTCTATAACAAATAAAAAATAAAGGAATTAACCAAAAAATTAACAAGGTATTATTATTATTATTATTATAGCCAACTTTGAAATAATAATGTTAGGCGAGAGACTTGTTAGCTTTAACAACTGAGTGATCAAAACAATAATAATTTAATAAACGTTGGTGATTAAATTATTTTTCAAAATTAAATGATCGAAACAAAAAATCTTGAAAAATTGAATAATTAAAAGGCAATTTACTTTTAAAAGTTAATAAGTTTGTTTTTGTCAAAGTAAACAACTTTAAGTTCAAATTTTTACACATTAATTTCACATGCATAATCCTTGTAAGAGAATATCATATATCTTGCTTTAATCTAGGAGAAGAAACCTTTCTATTTCCAATTTCCAATTTACTTGCAGATTGAGAAAAGTTGATACAAAAAAAAATTCTTGTTTACTATATTAAGCCAAAAAAATTTTTATCTAGCCTAATTTTGGTTTGATACAAGGATGTAGTCGATGTGTGAGATAAAAGCAGTTACCTTCATTAAGTAAATTTGAAATTTAAATTTCAATATTTAAAATCAATTTTTTTATTTTCAAATTTTTTTAAAAGTCATTTTTATAAAGTAAATTTTTCCAAGATTTATAATTCTAGCAATAGCTACTTAATTAATTCCAAGTCTTGAAATTACAGTCATTTATTCCAAAATTTTAATGCAATGAATGAACTGATTAATAATATTTCTTAATTAATTATACTTTGTTATTAAGGTTTTATATGCAGATATATAAATGATAAAAAAAAATATTGGTTTGGAATTAGGTGAACAAACCAAAATTAAATGGAATCAAAATGAAGCTTATTCTTTACTAATGATTAGACAAAAAGACAAGGTTAGGGGTCCTGTTTTTTCCAACCAATCATTGGAGAGCTGTCTTTGCCTCTGACTCCTTTCTTAAATTTTTTATTGTTTTTTTTTTTTAAATAATGGCGATGATTTTTATGTCCATTCCCTTCATGTGGTCCTATATTTTGTAGCCTTATTTGTCTATGTCTATGTTTCTCATACATCATTTTATTTTTTTATTTCTAAAAGCATTAAAATTTTTATATAAAAATTATAATTTAAAATAAAATAAATTACAAATATTAAAATTTAAAATTTATTTTTTATTATAAAATTAAATTTCTTGATGATGATTGTCTTTCCCTTATTTATATTTTATCCATGTTAAATTGAACATTTATGGTTTATTCTTTTTGAAATATCTTAACAAACATTGTCATAAAACCCTTTTATTTTTGTACTTGAATATTTGATTCAATGATACATACGTACATATATTTTTAAAAAATTGGGTTTGAATCTCGTTTTTTTTTTTTTATGCTTCATATTTTTCTTTCTTCAATTGTAAATTTAACCACCAATATTATGATTTTTTTAAACACATAATATAAAAAAACTAAAAATAAAAAATATATTAATCTTTTTGCGAAGTCAATTTTTATGCCTTTATTAATTAATCATTAAGTCAAAAATTGGAAAATTAGCATTATTCTTATTGAAAAATATGTAGAAAAAAAATTGAAAAGAGGTCCTACAAAGATAATTTTGCCAATCATAAATTAATAATCACCATACCTTTTTTATAAAGAGAAATCATTCAGATTGCATCTACCGACCACAACCAGAGACATTTCCAGGAGACATGAAATAAAGCAAATGCCTTCATTGGTTAATTTACATATCAGGGAAAAAAAAGTCATGGAAAACTATACGTGTGTGTTTCTTTCCTTTTTGCTATTTCTTTTTTTCTTTCCCATGTTCTGTTCATTTTTGTTCATTTTCTTTTTTTTTTTAATTTTATAAAAGGATTATAGATAGTGATTTGGGCACTGAAAAAGGTTTTAGATAATTCCTATGGAATGGAATTTAAATAAAAAAAATACATTTGAATTATTACATTGATCGAGTAAAAGTTGAATTCGAATCTTATTTATTTTTTTAGTTTGAACATAAAATTTCGATCTGTATAAAAGTGATCGCATAAATAATTCTCTTTATTTTTTTAAAGGTGGAATACAAAAAATTTGATAGATAAGGACTGCGTTAGGTCACATTCATCCTATGATAAACAACAACAGAAAACAACCACAAGCAAAAGGATCAAAGTTATGAGTCAATCAAAAGGTTTTAAAAAAATATTAGAGGTGAAGGTGATTGTAATAATTTTATGATGTGTGGGATTGGAAAACTCAACACATGACATGTTCCAAGAAAAGTAGAAAAGTGGTACACCTTCAAGGGCTTGATGTTTACATCCCTCCACAAACTATAACACATAATTTCAAAACAATAAAATGCAATCAAATAAGGCAAATTGCCTGTATTTATCTCTTTTGGTAAGTTCATCAAAGATTTCAAAGAATAAAGTGCAAGAAAAGCATTGCAATGTGCTCTGGTACTGAAATTGATTCCAAATTTGAGGGTTTCGAATTACGTCAAAGGTTTTCGTATTCCAAAAAAAAAAAAAAATACTAATATATAGTGAATAAGCAAAATAATATTGTGGTAAGTAAAGGAAAAGAGTAGAGTTACCAGCAATGAAATAATGTAAATCAATAGATCTTGGATTCAAGTTAAACTTACTGTTTACATATGAATGTATTGTTCCAACTTTGAGTCAGAGATCTAAGCCTTTTGTTCATCGTAGGGGTGTCAGATATCCACCGCTTGCAGGTGTTATTTGAAGAAAATTCATGAATAAAGTGGGACATGTGGTATGCAAGCAAGGTGTTGGTTTCTGCCCAAATTACAGGAAAGAATAGAAAGCTAAACCCATCATGACAAAATCATACCATGAGAAAGTTTTACAGGCAGAACATGTTGCTATGCACAACTTGATTACTCATTGGATAACTCCAGAATCCAGAAGACAAACCTGTGACATCCAACAACTTTTAGATTAGCTGGACATAAGAATTTGGTGCTTGTCAGAACCAGACTCATAAATATAACAAATACTGATGTTTTTGTTATAGTTAAACCCACAACAAAATTCCAATCATATAGTTAATTAAGTATGCCAGCCGATGTTCATTTTTCTTCAGTACAAAAGAAGTCGTAGTCTGAAGATTAAGGGGTTACAGTCGCTGAGATTTGAATCTCAAATCTGCTAGATACCACCTCTTAAGACATGGACCAACTGAGTTAGGTCTTGGGTTCATACACATTCAATATTGTGATTAAATTTGTCATAGAAAGAATCACCAAAGGGATGAACTAGGATTCAGGGGTCCATTCTATTAATCCAGTCCATCCTTCTTCAAGTTCCTGAAATAATAATCCTTCTGGATTTCCTGCACAATCACAGTGAGACAAATTGAGTGTTAAAACATATGCAAGAAGCATTAATTTGTGCTTTTAGAAAAAGCCAACAAATATGATTTATAGTATACAGGAGGTAAGACAGAATAGGGTCAATAGAATTAGTAAAAGAGCTTCATAGAAATGAAGGTGAATACTAATATCAGATGCTGGGATGTTCAAGTAATTTTACGGTTCAATAATTAACAAAAGTGGGGAGGAAGCATACAGTATCCTAGCTCATGCATGTGTTCAAGGATACTTAAAAAGCTAAAATCTTAACATCAGTTATCCTTAAGACAATTCCATACACTAAATGTGCATGATAGAGAAATTGATTGAGATGACTCAATTCAGAGATTGCTTTGAAGCATGGGGCCAAAGAACCAACTTGTTTACTATAGTCAGCACTTTTCCACCTAGGGGCAGTTTGATGCAATCTCATCACAACTAAATCCATGTGAAAGCTCTCGTAATGAAGTGGCCGACAAATATACACACTTAGCTGTCATCATCATTGCCATTACCAATCCAAATTTGTCAGCATCAGCTGCAAAGTTTATCGTCTATCGAGTTCTTTTTCTTCACAACCATCTTTCCCTTTCAACTTATGAGTTGTATATTTTGCAACACTGGATATAACCAACTCACAAATTTATATTACTCTTAGGCACTGCCACCACGCTACCATTTCCCAGTGGCTCACCTTAAGAATCATCCACTCCTCCACCGGCTAAACCCTCTACCACCTCGTTTCTCTCCACCCGGCCCAGAAAAAGAAAAAAAAGGATCCTGATAATGTCTCCATGAAACAGGATATGTAACATTATTGATCTCTTTGAGAAAAAAGGAGACAACAACAAAGAACTGCCCTCCTACATGTATATCATACAAATAAAAACAACAAAAAGTAGAAAACAAGAAGTAGAGACCAAAAACCAAAAAAGTAATATAACTCAATGGTAACTCAATGGATAAAGTTCAACAAGTCTAATTCTCAAAAGAAAAAGTTCAACAAGTCCGGGAAATGCTGGAAGAAACGAGAATTAGCAAAGGAGAGTGATAAAAATGGAAAGTAAAATGCCCAAAATTCCATTTTAATCTCATATATTAGCAACTCTATTCTTTCAAAGGTACTATCATTCCTTCCACACCACATAAATCACAATGACAAAGATGTACTGCCTTACAATCATGACTCATCCGAGTTTAGCTTTCTAGCTTGTGCCTTTGCTACAAGCAAACATTTCATGGCAAGAAACCATATTATTATAAGAACTAGATCAATATTAGCCAACACACAAGGGTCACAATCACCAGCATTCCAGCAATATCAAGGCACTCTACCAACCAAAATTAGAACTCCATAACTGCATTCATTATGAATTTTATAGAATACCACTCTTCTGCCATCACGCCATACTCAAAAGCAGATACGAATCTTATCTTATCCTATACACTATTAAGACCAGAAAAGCATACATTCACTCTTAGAATTATGAAAATAAACATATCTTATCTTATCCTATTCAGTATTAAGACCAGAAAAGCATAAATTCATGATTAGAATTATGAAAATAAACATATTCATGGAAACCAAAATTTTTTATGCACCCAACAGTGTGTATGAGATGAATTTAGTCCAACATGTTGAAGGGGCTCCGCAAAAACCAAGTCAAAATCATACATATGCACAAACGTAAATTCACTAGTATAAGAACTTTTTTATTCATAACAATCTCCCTCTTCAGAATCTTATCCCCAACTTTTGAAAACTCAATCCCAGAAGAAATAGGTTAACCACAGTGATATGGAAAAGGATATCCTCTATAAGAAAAAATAAGAATGGTAATCAACATTACCCCAAGAACCTAGTTTCATTATTATCTTATACACAACTAAGAAAAAGAATAATAATTTGATTTTCGATAAAGGTAATTGCAATATAGGTCAGTGAACTAAAAGCCTGTCCAAAACCAGAACATGACAAAAGAAATCCTGCTCCTAGTTACCCAATCTATTAGAAGGAAATCTAAAATGAGCTACATCCCACTCATATAAATAAGCAATATTTGATTCATGTTGAGGGTTACCCAACCAAACTGGTGTGGCTATAAAGATTACGAAATGTATTTTTGCAATTTCACATCTATGACATAGTCATAGAAGTATTAATCTAAACTCTGAACCATAATTCTAAAACCCAGCGTGGCCCTGCAGCCACCAAACTGGGTAGGTTTAATTTTGAAATGCTCACACAGATGATACTACCAAGACACATTAACCTGGCAACTTTTAGACAACTAGACAGGCTTTTCCTAAGGTCAACCAGGTTTTTTTATTGTTTTAATGGGAAAAATTCTTAAATGTTGTTGCTGGCTTTCAACCTTGGTCTCCAAAGAGATAACTGGTACCTCCATCATTGCTTCATTACAAATTTTGGTAACAAATATAAAAAAGATAAAATTCAAACATACTTTTACATATATTCTTAATATTATTATAATATGTGTAATGACTAGATACTAGAGTCTACAGGACTAAACTGTCATATAATAAGTCCTTTCTTCAGTATTATGCATCAAACTTTTATTTGTAACCATATTTTCTAGCTCAAATATCCATTATATATAGTATATATACACACACACACACAAAAATTACACTAATAACCCTGTCACAAAAGTTTCATATTTGGTTCAAGTTTAATAAGTATGGTTCAAACCAAAAAAGAAAAGAAAGAGAAAATGACAATGAAAAAAGACAAAAGAAAAAAGAACTAGAAGCAACTGTTAGGTTAAAAACTGTGATATCAAAAACCATAGTGAAAAGCCATGAACTTCAATTTTCAATCCATTTGGCATTGTGTTGGCCCAAGTCACTATTTTATAACTCCATGGCAATGCCAAACTTAGACTCAATAAAAAGCTCTTCAAAGGCGAAAAGAATTACTCTTTTTTCAGGGAACAAAAGAAAGAGAATAGAAATGAAACAACCAGGAAATAAAAGGAGAACAAACATAGAGAAAAAGAAGGTTCAAGACGTTGTATTATGCAAGTGATTAATAGGTAGCTAAAGAGGGAAGAAACATGAATTCATTTGTGGTTGTGAGAACTGGGACATATAATCAGTGATTCACATTTTGTGAAACTGAAGTTCACAAAGTGGGGTAGTAATTAAATGGAAGGGGATACCTTGTAGATTGTGGAAGCCAGTGCAAACATCTTCAAAGTCAAGTCAATGCTTCCATCCCTTCAAGTGACCATCATCCATGTATGGTTCTAGAAATCCAATGAACTGAAATAACAGAAACTTAAATGGTCAAAATCCAATGATCTGATAGTGGTTGTAGAAAATGTTAAAAACTATATAGTTTAGGAGGTTAAATATTAAAGTGAAATATCTTCAAGCAAAGCCAAATTTATGTCTTCTAAAAGAATGGCATCAAGTTGCTTTAGCAGTATGTACAACCAGTTAACATATATATAAATGGATCCCTACCATACATACATCCAATATGCATACATGCATACCATAACTATGCTTTTAATGATAAATGTTTACCTTAGTTCCATCCTTCGACCAGCGTGCACCGTACCCTTCATCAACCCTTATCTCAAAGACAGCACCATGTGGTTGAACAATATACACATTCAACCAGCTAGAGTTAGTGATCAAATCAGTAATGACACCCATTGCAAGATTATTTTTATTTGAGTCTGGAGAGATGGAAATAGGACAGCACTGATTAGATGGTCAGTCACCAAAGAAACAATGAAGCTCCATGTGTGTGTATGTGCAATACTCAACATAGACCATTTATGCATCCCAAAAACAATAAAGTTTTGTAGTATTGGAAAGGTCCAACTTTGCACTACGAGGCGAATCCATTAACTAATATGATTATCCTCTTCTCCATTCTAATTGATGCCCATATCTAAGGAAGATGCACCTATGTTCAAATGTACACACAAGAAACTTCATGATTAAGTTCAAGGATCTCTTCAAACAAAGAAATCATCAAAATCTAACTTCAAACAATTCTATAGTCAATGTTAATGACACACACACACATAAAACAAAAACAAATAAAATAGAGAAAAAAGTCTTTAAGCACCACGATGACAAGTTGAATCCACATAACTCACCACTTCCATTTAAATTACCCCAGTACTTATTGCTACTTCGATCAGCATGCTTAGCCAAGGCCCTAGCTCCATGAGTCAAGGCACTGCCTTCGACCTAGAGAGCACAAAAGAAGAAAAACCATAATAAAGTCAGACAATATATTAACAGCAAGAATGTGACACCTGGGTAGATTAAAATGTTTTGCTTCACTGGTCAAAGACCAGAAGTTGAATCACTAATAAAGAAAGAAGGAACAGCCGAACATACATTTATCTAGTAGTTCTTGCTCATGTATAGTGTGAGAAAAATAAGAAAAACTCTTCTCACTGCACCACCCAGACTATGACAGTTCTTTGCATTTTAATGACAAACACCCTTTTTATAAGGAAAAAGATAGCTTTTGAATCAACATATCCAAGCCTTCTCATTTCTTTTTTTTTTTTTATTTGAATCATGCATAATAATTGTGACATGTTCAGATGAGAAAATAAAAGAAAGTCCAATGTAAGGAAAAACCTTAGGGTAAAGAAGAAGAAAGGGAAAAGAGCCTTCTCAAGTCATTATCTTACATCTGGATTATATGGCAACGTAAATGATGAGAGAAGTGTTGATTTTGGTGGGGGGAGTGCAGCAGAAATTGTTCCAGTAGTATGTGCTAGACCCAGAAGACTTTGGACACCTTCATAACTCAGTTCCTGGATTAAAACATTGAACTTTTAAACATTCACTTAGGCACTTACAGAATACATCACTTTTATTGGGCATGTAACTGGTATGGACTTTATATTATAGGTTATATGGGAGTCTAGGAGGTAGTGCATATGCAGACAAATATAAAGTAATAACATTAATACTGATCTCATAAGAAGTGAAACGACATGTGTTAATCTGGACCTAACTCCATATATGAATGGCAATGGAATTGATCCCTCTGCCAACATGATTTAAAATTTGAAACAGGAAGAAATAGACACATGCAGACAGAAATAACTTTATAACAAATTCAACCCTTACAAAAGCTAAAAGCATAAAGAGAATGTATGACGTAAATATAGACCCATAAAAAGCACGTGGTGGATTCCTTTTGATTCACTGTCAGCAAGGAAATAACTACAATTTATGTTGAGCAATCTGTTTATGTGGCCAACTAATAAAGTAGACATTGTCATATATAGTCAATTCAAGATGTTTCAATTGGTACCATGATAAATCTCTATTACTCCAAAATTCCTTTTCTCTTATGCATATGGCCAGTAACCTTGCTGCCGTTATGGCTTGATACAATAGCTAAATTGAGTTCCTGAAATACTTTAAAATGCAGCTCATACAACCATGTCATGATCTTGCTTAGATATAAGATGGAGCATATTTCTAAGTATAAAAATTACCATTCACCAGAAAAAAGGATCTCAACTCCTGTTCCAAAAAAAATATATATTTAACCATTTTTCCTCGTTAGCAATTCTGATGAATTGAGTCCATTTATAAATAAATGATAACAGAGATTCCAAAATTTCTTCACTTTCTGGGTATATATATATATATCATGCACTCTTAAATATATGTAAAAGTTTCTGATCATGCTGCAAGATTCTATTGAGATGGGATACAGCCAATAAAAGTAATGTCAGTTCTTGAATTTCAATAGTTTCTAGGAAACTGTTGTCTCTTCCATTTACTTCTTTCTTTCTACTGCAATATTAGGTATTTAGGTTGTACTCTCACATGAAACAACAGTCTCATCTTTGTAATCATGACTGATGGTGACAACATGCAGTTCTAGAAACTATCCTGTTAAGCATTCCCTTCACATACTCAATGTTATAGGGTATTGTTTTTCATTTTCATAGAAACAATAAAGGAGGCTACCACAATGACACTCATTACAGTATAATAGTCAAGTTCCCAGTAAAGTATTTGGAATTGCATCAGAATCCAAGGGTTTTGAAACTCAATAAATATGACAGGAACCCAACCAAACTTGCACGAAGCAACTAAACAGAAAATTTCCATTGGGAAATATCAGATTAATTTATTAAACATGAAAAAACCTACAACTCAAACAAATACAGTAAGCAACTCACAGAGAGTAAGCTGGCCAACAAGATAGAAGGCTGCGCCACCAAATTAGAAACACAGATTGCAAGGACACCATTAGACCTTTCTTTCTCTTCTGTATAAAATTTCCTATATATTTGCACACCTACAAAAGCATGAAAAAATTACCACAAAAGAATTAGCAAAACATTTAGAAGCAGGACTGTAAATACCCATCATATTCCTTTCAACGCGTCTCCGGTTTGACTTAATCAAACAATTATAAGATAGCTAAGCATAAATGAAGATAAGTCCCAAAAACCTGCCTCATTTAGAATGAATTTGGATTTCAAAGTCTTAAAACTAAATGATTAATGATTAATGTAACTAAGCACAAGGAGGTCCATATGATTAACGATTTATAAAAAAAAAAAAAAAAAAAGGAAGTAGGAGGCTAAGTAGCACATAAAAATGCATGGTTATCAGCTATGGATTCAACACTTTACCAACCTCCTATGCTTATTATGTCAAATCATTTGTTAACTTTTGTTGACATTCCTCTATAGTCTACACTTTTTACAAAGTTTCTGAGAAAAGAAAAGTTAGGATTTCTGAGATTTCTCAGTTAAATCAGATTTTATTAATAGATATATTAACAGATTTGATGGTCTAATGACTTATAATTTTCAATCCACTCTCAAAGAACCACATGGAGCCAAATGAACCAGAATCCAATCTTTTAACAACATCATTATAATAATTATACGGTGATAATAATCCTCATTCAAAACGTGGTAATAAGTTCCCTCATACCATATACAGCCTTCAAAACTTATGACAAAGTAATCCATGTTATCCCCATTTTAAGAGAGATACAATTCAAGGCCAATCATGGGTTAACATCAGTTGCCATTACCTTCTTCAGTGGATTTAACTCCAGGAAGGACTTCAGAAAGACTTTCAGCTTCTAACATCTTAGAAAATGTAGCATAACGATGAACATCCTGAAAATTGAGAAAATTAGAAATTCCCAACTCAGAACAAGAACATGGAATGTAAGGCATAAGCATTAGATCACCTGAACTCCAAGCACCAGACATTTATTAAAAAGGATCACAGAACCTGTTTCAATACTAAAATAAATAAATAATTAATTAATATATGAATAAATAAAAAGAAGTCACTTATCAAAAGGAAAAGAATTCAAAATCAATTAGGTTTCCATGAAGACACCAGGGAACAAATAATGAAAAAAAAGGGGAAGGGGGGCAGTCAATTGAATAGGTTGTCCTTAAGTAACAAAGGATCTTAAAATTGAATAGGTTGCCCAACAAAAATCAATTTGTACAGAACAAGTTTAAAAAATAGGAGCCGAAGAAAAAGAAATAACAGTCATGCAAGACATACTTATTGTATTCACCAACTGCACACCTTCCTTCAATTGTCTTCAAGCCATCTGCAAAGAATGTCAAGTTTCAATTGCTGAGATAATGACAAAGGAATAAGGGCATTGGTAAAGAATAAAAACAACCAAAAATACCTCTTAACATTGAAAAGAATGGTTCTTGAACATGAAATTCAAAGTCTATATTATTCATAATCTATCAAGAAAACAAATTATTAGTCATAAACCTAAAAAAATAAATAAATAAAATAACTGCATTAACAACAGCAAACTAACTTTAATCAATTCAAGTCCCTTATTTGAAACCAACTTATTCCACTCTTCCTTCTGTTTCGTAGAAATTTCATCGCGCATTAACGCTGAATTGCCTTGTCTATAGCAAATGAACCCGGAAACTATGGATTGGTGCAAAGCCGATGCCAAATGCTTGTATAAAGGGTATGAAGGAACTCCCTTCAAAATATCTACACCATTCCAGTGGGAGAAAAAAAAAAACAATTATGCTTCTATCAAATGGGTAAAAATTGCTACAATAACCAAACCTCTAACAATCAAGATTCAATTTTTTTTGTGTGGGCACAATTTTTAGCGTTTCTCTCCGTTTCTTTTTGGCCCTTTTTCTTGGAACAACCAAAAGGTGGAGATTAACAGAGAAAGTTAAGAATAAGAAATCAAAATTTTAGGTTTGGGTAGTCAAACCTGGACTGGGATCGTCGGTGTGGGAACCGATGAGAAGGTTGGAGCAGAATTCATGGGAGAGGCGTAGTTCAAAATTGAGGGATTTGTTGATGTGGGATTGGAGAGTGAACTTCGTTAGTTCTTCTATACATTCTCCTAGTCTCTTCATATCTCTCTATTTCTTAGTTTAAGTTCTTCCACTTTTTTTTTTATTATGAAAATTTTCCATTTTTGTTTGCTGAGCTGAGCTCCATTGTTTCAAATTCAACAGTAACAAGTGCATTAGGGATTTTTTTCTTTCTTAGTTTAACAAATAAATACTTTTCCCGAACTTCGCATTTATTTTTTTTAATTTCTCAAAAGACTGTCTATTTTCAAAATAAATTTTTAATCTTGCCCTTTATTGAAATATGAAGATTTCATTCTTCTTACACTATTCTGTGACATAATTTCAGTTTTTTTTCGTACTACTATTTTTTTTATATTTTCTATTTTAATCCATGTTTGCAACTCGACGAGCTAAAAATATTTTATCTGGGTAATTCTATTCACCAAATGGAACACCAAATTTAATTGAACTCCTGGAAAGATTAAAACTTAGACATTGCACAAGTTTGATTAAGGTTCGTCGATCTATAGTCATCATTTGCAAATCTGAATTTACTAAGCTGTAAGAGCTTGAGGAAACTTGCAGATAACTTGATAATTTTAAATTCAAATACGATGATACAATACGAAAAAAAAAAAAAAAATAAAAATTGTATATAAATTTAGTAAAAATAAAAAATATATATTATATTTAATACATGAATATAAAAGTATTCAAATTTTCATCGGACAATATTTATACTTTTAAGATATCATAAAATTATCAACCTTAATAGTTACTCAAAACTTAATACTTTGATGTTTCTATTGAGATATGAAATAGAGTTATTGTGAAGAAATATGGCATCCAACTTTACCAGCTGACTAGTTTTATTAAATACCATATGATTGAATATTAATATGTTTCAGTATCTGGCTAGTAAAATTTTAATTTTTATGATAGTGAAAGAGCTTTTGGTGGGAGTTAGTGTTTTGTTTTCATGTTTTTATTTATTTATTTTCATTGTTTTCTATTTAAAGACCTTCAAAGCAAAGCATTACACATCACTCCATAGGTATCCACACACAAATCCAACATAAAAAGCATTTAACAAAACATCTCCAACATCTTGGTTAGAGTCTTTTGTTGCACAAACTTCATAGATTGTATGACATGTGTGTGGCCATGGTGCTGAATAAGTTCTTCTCAATTTCAGTATATTTTACATGTTGTAACTTTTGATAATTAGTTACAGCATTCAAAGCCAAGGAAACAAAATATATTCCTAGTAGTTATACCAAGCAATTCTCTTAACATGGAGTATTAGACAACAAAAAGTTCATGTCTCCTTATCTTGTATTTGACTTTTATTTGGAATGTAGTAGAGAAGTAACTAGTACCAAGGGGAGTTCTTATGGAATAGATCTAACAAGATATTCTTGATTTAAAAGGCTTATAACACCCTCACATGTCAACCCCTGAAATCAAACATAATTTAGTACAACACTGAAAAAGTAGAAGAAGGACACAACTATGTTAACACACTTTACAACATTCCTAGCCCACATATAAGCTATTGCAGCAGACATACTACAATTTCTATAGTGTATAGAAAGCTTATTTATTCTATAGCAGATGGACACTACAAGTCCTAATGTTTATTTTCAACTAAAGTAGGGCTTTCATGTATGTAATCTACATGCATTCATGATGTCAGTGAGATGCACAATATTTGCAAAGCTTTTCCTCATTAAACACTTTTAAATGTAGACAAACCAATATTTTGTACATCAACTATGCTCTCTTAACAACATTAAAATGACCAAATTTGTTATAACCAAAAACTCCACAATTAAAATATATTTCAAAATCTTTTTAAAGCTAAGTTAGCTCAATTCATTTTCAGTTATGATATTATTTTGAGGCAAAGGTTGTAGTTTTCATTTTGGATTGCTTACATTTGAAGCTTTTTAGTTTGAATACTTAATATAACTTTTGCCTCTTTGTGATTTTTTTATTTGTTGATGAGCTTTATTTTGCTAGAAAGAATTTTTCCTTAAATATAAGGCAGATAATTTCACATAATTGTAAAGTTATAAGCATGAATCAAAATAAGACAAAGTTAGCTCACTCACGGATAGCATTCTGGCTAACGAAAGATAGGGTTGAGTAGCCACTTTTGTAACATAAATTGCAATAACACCATTGGTCATTTCTTTATCTTATAAGTAAAACTTTTTGTAAACTTTTATGCTAAAAAAAGCAACAATTTGCATGATGTCCAAGTGTTTAAATGATTTTGGGAACCACTAGAAAAATTTAGAAAACAAAATGAATGAGTCACCATCAATCTTTTTTACCATTAATCTTTTTTGGTTAGGTGTGATTGGCCACCTATTAAAACTTATCTTTTTAATAAATTAATTAAAATTTATTAAAAATATAATTTTTGGATCTGAAAAAATAATTTAGGTTCGAGAGTCGGTTACATGTAAAGAATGATTAATATCCTCACAACACCTATTTAAAACGATATCAATTAATTATATATTATCTTTTAATATTGACTAACATGGTCTTAATTATTTAAAGATTTATTTTCCTAGTATCTTTAAAAACATATTTTAATTTTTAGTAAGCTTGAAAAATAAATAAGAACCTTATATTGAAAAATTCTTAAAAATATTTCAATACTTTGATATTATTAAAACGAACCATCTCACCTAAAGAATTTTTAAGAATTACTATTTGAAAATCTAAAAAATCCTATCATCGCTGGTTTAGATTTACTTCCATAAACTATTTATAAAAAAAATGAGAAATCTTTATTAAAAATTAATCTAAATGCTCTAATACATTGATGACATTTTAAATAAATTTTTTTGCTTAAAGATTCATAAAGAATCACTACTCAGATTTCTTTAGAATCTTATCCTTAGAGACTTTTCATTTTGCTTTTAAAAATTATTAAAAGTTATGTAATAGTTACCTACAAATATATTTATTTCCTAAAAACACTCTTATTTATTAAGAAAAACTGTTCAAAGAAAATAATTAAGAAACAAAAATTTTTCTTATTAAAATGAAACTTCTAAAAATTCCAATATTTTGATAATTTTTAGAAGATTTTTCTTGCCTAAGAAATTCTCAAAAATCACTACTTGGACTTCTCAGAGTTTCATCATCGAAAAATTTTATTTCATTTAAAATTATGTAATGCAAACAATAAAGTATAACATGTACATGAAAAATATATATTACTTAATATTATATGCACACGAAAAATATATATTACTTAATATTATGATTATTATTGTTATATTACTTTTTCTTTTTAACGTGAAACTAAAGTGCAAATAAAATAAATTGGATTAATAACAATAATAATAATTTATGACATGAAAGATTAGATTGCATGAAATTAAATTAAGCAAAAAAAATTCAAACAATAAATAAATGATAATGTATAAGATTTAAACTCAAATTAAATTTAAATAAAAAATATGTATGAGGTGTACATGAAATACCATTGTATTAGGTTATTTAATAATAACCTATTACCCATTGTCAGCCTATGTCAAGCTTATAGCCAAATAAAAATAGATGGTGGGGCCAGAATAATGGCTTAACTTTTACTTTCTATCTTCTATCCATTGAAAAGCCACCGTTTTAGGGAAATTATGAAATAAAGATTTAAGCTTTCCTCTTTATAGACTGTATACATATTAGAAAAAATGTGGAAGAAAGTTTAAACCTCTAGCCGTATACTCTATTACTAACATCTCCAACCACCCTCGTACGAAAGAAACCATGATCATGTAGCAATGAAACTTTAAAATTCCTCTAGACAAAATCACATACAGAAATAAATGAGTTATGAGCATGAAGACCATTCATGAAACTAACAAGTCACATGTAGAAATAATGCAATGGCGAACATGGAAAGGATGAAATTTGGTTTAGAAGCTTATTGCCATAGCTTCAAAGGTCATTGGGTTCTCTGTGATTTTCTATAGTCTTTATTTCATGGACAAGACACCACATTCTACCCAGAAATCAAAGATGATAATGATGAAAGCCTAAAGTTTCATGAACAACTGGAAGCAAAGATAAACATATTCATTTGATTAACAAGTGAAAATAAGAACTGAGACCTTAAACTTTCACACAATCTTCAAGCAGAAAAAATCATCAAACATGAATCAAAGATGTGATTTTTTTTTTTTGCAATTCCACAAACAAAACATATACAAGAAAAGAAAAAGAATGACGTGTAGAAAATAACAAACCTACAGCCTCAACAAACTAATACACATAACAACGACAAAAAAAAAAAAGCTTTAAGCCATTTTATATCTACATGATATAGAAAAAAGAAAACCACAAGTAAAGAAAAAACATACCCTTAAGTTCTTCATACAATAGCAAAACAGTTTTCATTTTTTTTTTTTACATAAAATGTGCACACAAAAAAAATTTAAGTATAGGAACTTCCTGTCTTATAACCTTTTTTGGGATATTAGCTTCTTTTTCCTTTAGCTCAACTCCAACCCTTTAACAGACTCCTTATTTCCTCTATTTCTTTCTCATTCAAACCTACTCTATTCGGCTTGCTTTCTATTTTCCTTTCAGTCATTTTTTTTTGCATTACATCCCTTTTTTTTTCAAGCACCCTCTTCTCCTTAACGGACTATTTTATTTGTTTTTCTCTTCTTTCCCTCAACTTTGGCAACATCTCTCTCTTTTCCTTTGGTTTTTGACTTGCCTTCTAGTTTCTTTCCTTCTCATTTTTTTTTCTATGTGTTTGGCTCCTTTCTTTCCAGCCTTTCAGCCCTTTCTAGCCTCCTTATGTTGGCTTCTTTCTTTTCTCTAGCCTTTCTTTCCTTTTTACTTTAGCCCTTTCTTTTTTTTAGCCCTTCTTTCTTTTTTACATTGGCCCCTCCTTTTCAGCACCCTTTCCTCTATTCTTTCCTAATCAGTAGACCCTTCCTTTTGATAGTCAACCTAAAAAAAAAATTATTTTTGATGAATATAGACCATTGAATGAGATTTGATCCAAGGGTTAAATCTTATTTTTTTATTATTTTCAAGGAACCACCTTTAGCCATGGGATCAAGATCAATAAAAGATATAATGGTCCACATTATTTACTACAAATGTTGGATTTTTATATCCTTTAAACCCATAAAAAATCATTTTACCCATAGTACAAAGTTTTCAGTATTTAGGCTATTTTCTTATAAATCAATATTTTCACACTCATTTTTGGGATTTTAAACACAAAAATCATAAAATATTATAAAATTAAGATATGAAAAGTTTCATAAAAATCTGAACTCGAGAATGCTAAATTATGAAAATACCCCTATGAGGATATTTTAGTAATTTCACATTTTTAAGGATACTGCTATGATATTGAATGCACCAAAAATTATGAAATATTATGAAATTGAGATCTGAAAAGTAATCTAAGTTTGAAAATGTCAAATTATGAAAATACCCTTGTAAGGATATTTTCATAATTTTATACTTTTGGGGTACTATTATGATTCCAAATGCACTAAAAATCATGAAATATTATGAAATAAAGATTTAAAAAGTTTCATGAAAATCCAAGCTCAGAAAGGTCAAATTAAGAAAATATTCCTTACGGGGGTATTTTGGTAATTTTGTACTTCTTTCAGTACAATAAAATTTTTAATGCCTTAAAAATCACCAAATTTAATTTTAAACTACATTGATTTCAATTAGACTTTGAACTTTGAAGATTAGCTTTAGTTTTATTCATTTTGATTAAGTTTTGTATAATTTTGACTTGAGTTGACTTTGAAGTTTGCTCGTTTTATTTATGCTTTATTTTTCATACATTCATATGAAAATGTATCATCCATATAAATTCTATGAAAAAGCATTTGATAGAATCATATGGGTCTCTTTTTTTTTATTTATTAGGCTTAAATATCAACACATTTTATGGGCTATTTAAGAGGCTTTTTTAAGGGTTTCAAATGGGCTTTGTTCAACCATGTTAAAATATTTTGGACAAAATTTGGTATCGAATAAAACCCTTTAAAAAGTTTTGATTTGTCCAAAAGTTCAAAATTTTACTCATTGATCTTTTAAGACAAAATAAATGTAAAGGAAAAAAAAAATTAATGCATGGAATTACAAACATAAGGTATTACCATTAATACCACAAAAAAGTTTGAACTTCACATATAACAGAGCTCAGACTACAATGTATAGAATCATTACCTCCATCTATGGTTTTAACTTTAAAAAGGAATTTTGCATGACTGTCTACTTCCAACATCTTAAAGAATAAAGCATAATGGTGAACATCCTACCAAAAGAAAATGTCCAAAAAAACTAGATGATTAAGAGAAAAAAAAGCATGGATAACTAAAAAAACACATGCTATTACCTGAACCTCAAGTATCAAGCATTTGTTAAAGAGGATCAAATCTTCAGATGCAATTTTGATCAAAGTAATAAGTAAAAAAATATATAGAAAAGCTTATAAAATATACTCAACTATTCAACACAAATTATTTAAGTCTAGGGGCAAGAATAACCCTTTGATACATGTTTAAGCCATTGAACCCCACCTGACAAACTAAAAAAAAATGTAATTAAATAATATACCAGCAATATATTATAAAAAAAATTATGTTTTCACCTCCTTTTTCTTTTCTTTTCCTTCTTTTTCACAGAGATTTCCCTTGGTTTCTTAGAAATAGACGAAGCAAATAGCAAAAAAGATCAAACAACACTAGATTTGTACAAATGCCTAAAAGTAAGGCATACCTATTATAGTCACCAACAGCACACCTTCCTCTATTGTTTTAAGACCATCTACAAACCAATACAAAGAAAAATCTTTACTTCAAAATAATATAAAGTAAAATGTGCAGATGGCAACATATTACTTCTAAATGAGTAATAGAAAAGGGCAAATCATGAAACCATGGTTTCACTTTAGCTAGAAAAGGCAGGTTTCAAGTTCAAATTTCCTTACCCCAACTTAACTATTGTAGAAGAAAAATTACTAATGTAAAGAAATAAAGAATATAATAATTTATGATACAAAAACCTAAGAAAACCATAAGAAACAGGAGCATTATCATGAGCATAATATTTGTGGAATAGAATAATACCCTTTAGTTATGTAAAGAAAAGCTCCTGAACATGAAGTTCAAAATTGATGCTTTTTAAAATCTGATGAAATACAATGATTAGATACAAACTTTAATTTAACTATAAAGATACAATTGGAATAGGTAAAATCATCATCATTATTAGATATAGAAGAAGAAGAACATACTTCAACTAATTCAGATCCTTTTTCATGAACAAAGTCAAACGACTCTTCTTTCTGCTTCAAGCCACTATCTTGACAAAATGATGCCAATATGCTACACTTGGATGACCCTTGAAGTGATCCAAATGTTAATATTTCATGTAAGGTCAATGCTAACTGTATGTATGAAAGGATTTTGAGAGACTCATTGGGAAACTACTATATATTCAAAAAATGAATCATAGGACATGTAATTGAAAAAAAAAGTTGAAGAAAAAGAATATTTTTCATGGGTATTTTTCATTTCTTACAGGCATTAGGGGAGATGAAGAGAGTTGATTGGTGATTGAGGAGAGAGAAGCAGAATTGTTTTGAGAGCCTAATATAACATTCAAGAGTTTTGTTGAGAAGAGAGTGAATAGTGAACTTGACTAGCTCTTCTATGCAGTTCCTCAGGTCAATTGGGTTTGTTCCTGGTGACAATGGTTGCTCCATTCTGGCTTCCCTTGCTTACTCTGTTTCCCTTTCCAACGAGAGATTTTCTGCTTGGGGAAATACGAGGTCCTTTGTTGCAGCCATCAAAGTTTCAAGCAAAAAAAAAGTTCACTTCCAGTTTGAATAAATATTTTTACATAATGTTTCAAATGTTAGATGCTTCACTTCCACCATTTTTGATGCTAATTCCCCCACAATTATTTGAAGATGATAAGTTATGAATAAGGGCAATGCAGTAAGAATAATTAATATTGGCATGAATGAGAACAAATATTCATTGAATAGAAAATATTATTCACAAAATTAATAATAAAATTAATAATTATATTTATCTCGAATTTGAAAAAAAAAAGAAACTGAAAAAGAAAGAAAGAAAGGTGAAGGGTAAATGTTGTCTTGACAAAATTTATGTAGTTGGCAATGTTCAATCTTGACTTAAGATTGTAAATTTGATCTGTCAAGACAAAAATAAAACTTAAAAATCAGATTTAATTAATATTATATTAAGATGCAACAAATTTAATAAGTTGTTTTGTTAAAAGAGATGATTCGTCAAAATTAATGCTAATATTGATGAGAGATAAAGAATAAATAAATAAAAAAAATTAAGTAAAAAAAATTTTGAAAATAGAAAATTTTGGAAAAGCATGACCTATATTTTTTGTTTTGGTGAAAAGTTTGTTTAATAATAAATTTTATTTTCTTATTATTATTTTAATTATGACGATTATGAAAAATAATATTTTTTAATTATTTATTTCATTCCAAAAATCTTTGAATTCGATATCTTAATTGCAAAACTTGTAACTTTGATTGGTTAAGATATTTCAACTATAAAAGTTTTTTATAAAAAAAAAGTAATCTAAAAAAAATTATAAATATTGAAATTTAAATTTTTATTGCACGTCACTTTTAAAAAAGATTATTGAATACAATTAAATTAAACTCTGGTTGTCGACTACAAAGTTTTTACTATGAGCAATTTATCTAAAATTATTATCACAAGATAAGGGAATGTTTATCATATTATATTGAATTTTCGTTCCAAATGCTAATATGGGGATATTTATTAGCATAGTTATTACATAATGAATTATTCAAAATGATATGTCTTTAGATTATTGGTTCAACTGAGTTAACAAAAATATTTAAAAAAATAAATATTTTAAAATTTTAATCTATTATATGATAAATAATAAAATTCTATTATAAATAATTTATTTTTTTGGCCAATAAGATAATTTCATACTTAAAAAATTAAAATATGTAACATAATATAATAAATGTGAAAAAAGTATATATATTTAACAAAATATAATAAATTTAAAATTCAAACTCCTAATTTCTAATTGAAACTTTGAAAATATTAATCAGAATGTCAAATAATTCAACCATATTAATTTAAAAAATTAAAAAAAGTAAATATCTAAAGAATTTTAAAAATACAAAAAAATGTCAAAGTTATTTTAAGAAAAGGGCTCATGTAAAATATAAATTTTAAAAAATAAAAATAAATACTTATAAATAATAATATTTGATATAAATCAATCAAATTTGAATAAAATCTTAATTTTAACCAATCAATTCCAACTACTATTTTTTTAGGAGAGCAGTGCCGTATATTTATATAATATATATTTATATATTTATATATATAATTTTTTTTATGAAAATGTGTCATATATCTTTATTTTTTACCACATAAGAAGGTCAAGCTATTTAAAAATTATTTTATTTCTTTGACGGTTGAATGTATATACTTTTCTCCATTACCTTTATTTGTAAGCTTCTTTTAATAATTCCTTAACTTCATGATACATCATGCATCATAAATTTACAGAGCTTATCATTCAGGATTGGAGCTAGACTTAGTCCTTATCTTTTGTAATGTTCGAGTATAAATCTGTTCATTTTCTTTTGAAACCATATGAAATTAAAAAAAAAAGAATGAAACAACCCATCTGAAATTAGTGTTTCCTGCTGCGAAGGAAGAAATCAAGAAATGGCAGAAGGCGTCCTGTTCGATTTGGCTGGAATCGAACCCAATAATTTTTGTCCAGCTCAGCTACAATCTTTTGAACGAGAGATGTGCCAGATATTTAATCTTTAACCATATAAGTTTTCACCCAACTGTATATATTTTCTTCTATTACCCTTATTTGTAATTTTTCTGTAATACTTCCCTATCCACGTGGCTCATCATGCACCATAAGAAATTAGAGACTTTACTATTTAGTGTTGGAGTTTACATGACATTGACTATAAAGTCGGACTTGGATCATAGGTATCTTATCTCCGCTTTCGTAACCATTCGCAATTTCTTAAAAAAAACATAGGAGATTAGCGTTTCCTGCTGGGAAGGAAGAAATCAAGAAATGGCGGAAGGCGTCCTGTTCGATTTGGCTGGAGAACTCTTGGGGGGTCTGGCATCGTTGGCTTGCCAAGAACTTGGTTTGGCTTGGGGAGTCAAAGCAGAAATCAGCAAGCTCAACAACACTGTTTCCTTGATCAAAGGTGTGCTTCGTGATGCGGAGGAGCAACAAAGAAACAACCATGGAGTGACGGTCTGGCTCGGACAGCTCAAAGATGTGGTTTACGATGTGGATGACTTGCTCGACGATTTTTCCACTGAAGCTTTGCGGCGAAAGATAATGCGCGGGAATGAAATGGTGAAAGAGGTACGCATTTTCTTCTCCAAATCAAACCAGCTTGCATATCGTCTCAAGATGGGTCATAGAGTTAAAGACATTAGAGAGAGGCTAGATAATGTTGCAGCTGATAAGGACAAATTTGTCTTGATTAACCGCCCGGTAGAGTCACTACTGGTTGGACTTAAGGAGAGGGATCAAACTCATTCCTCTGTGCGTGAAAAAGAAATAATTGGAAGAGACGATGATAAAAAGAAAATTGTAAAACTGCTGCTACAATCCGAACTTGAAGAAAATGTTTCAATTGTTCCCATAATAGGGATTGGAGGATTAGGAAAGACCACATTAGCTAAAATGGTGTTCAACGACGAAAACGTCGGGAAACATTTCCAGCTAAAAATGTGGGTTTGTGTCTCAGAGAAGTTTGAGATAAAAGTCATTGTGGAAAAAATCATTGAGGCTGCAACTAAAAAAAAACCTGTAAGGGACCTCCAGATGGAAACACTGCAAGATATTCTTCGAGAAAACATTAATGGAAAGAAGTACTTGCTAGTCCTTGATGATGTATGGAATGAGGACCGTGAAAAGTGGCTCGATTTGAGAAATTTGCTATTAGATGGTGCAAGGGGAAGCTGGATTGTTATCACTACTCGTAATAGGGGGGTTGCAGAAATCACAGGTACAGTTTCGCCACATGAGCTTGAAGGATTGTCAAAAGGCCAATCATGGTCACTGCTAAAGCAAATGGCATTTAAAGAACAAAGCCACGAATCCAATAGTTCACACTTTGAAGCAATTGGGATGGAGATTGTAGAGAAGTGTAAAGGGGTCCCTCTTGCCTTAAGGGCGATAGGAAGTGTACTATTTAAAAGAACAGAAGCGGAATGGTTAAAGGTGAAGAATAATATTGTTAGGTATATAACTCGAACAGAAAGTAGCATTATGCCAATTTTAAAGTTGAGTTATGATCATCTTCCACCGCATTTGAGGCAATGTTTTGCTTATTGCTCTTTAATTCCGAAGGACATGGTGGTTGAGGTGAAATTTTGGATCTTACTTTGGATGCACCAAGGGTTTCTCCAGCCACAAAGCGGAGACGAAGATCTAGAAGATGTTGGGCTTGAGTATTTCATGAATTTACTTTGGAGATCTTTTTTTGAAGTTGCAGAAGAAGATGATTCAGGAAATGTGGAGAGTTTCACAATGCATGATCTAATGCATGATCTTGCATGCTTTGTTGCTGGGACTGAGTGCTGCATTGCAGGTCTAGAAGCAGAAAATGTAGATGAAAGAACTCGCCATGTGATTTTTGAAGATAAGGCAGATGCTTCTTGGAAAATTCCAAGCACTTTGCTTAAAGCAAATAGACTAAGGACAATATCTCTCCCGGAAGGCAGCTTGAATCAATCCAATTGCAATGCACTGATTTCTAATTTTAGGTACCTACGCTTTTTGAATTTGAGTGACCCAGGTATTGAGAGGTTACCGCATTCCATAGGCAAATTGAAACATTTAAGGGGTCTTTATCTTACTGGAAATGAAAATATTAAAAAACTGCCTAGTTCGTTGTGTAGGCTACAGAATTTGCAAACATTACGTCTTTCTGGTTGCTCCAATCTTGCAAAATTGCCGAGGAAAACAAGAAGGTTAGTTAGCCTCAGATATCTATCTATTGATGGTTGTGATAGTTTGGCTTACATGCCACGTGGACTGGGCCAACTAACTTGTCTACGAACGTTAAATGAGTTTATTGTGGGAAAGAGAGGCAAGGGTGTTGGTGAGTTAAGGGAATTGAATGGACTGAAAAACCTCGAAGGAAAAATACGTATTTCTTCTTTAAAAAATGCTATTCCAGAGCCTGGACCTTCTCACTTGAAAGAAAAATTGAATTTGAAACACTTGAAATTGAGCTGGAGTGATGAGGAGGAGGATGCAAGTAATGAGAAGTCTGAATTGGTTTTTGAACGCCTCCAACCACACCCAAATCTTAAGAAGCTTCGGGTGAACGGGTATCCAGGAAGCAAGATTTCAAGCTGGCTGTCTTCCATCACCAATTTAACTCAACTAATTTTAGAAGATTGTGTTGAATGCAAGCATCTGCCACCATTGCATCAGCTCTCTTCCCTCAAAATTCTTAAGCTTTTAGAATTAAAAGCTTTGGAGAATGTGTCAGAGATTGAAATGCAAAAGGAGTTGTCTTCTTCAAAATCAACAAAATTTTTTCCATCCTTAGAGAAACTCCAACTAGAATATTGTCCAAATCTTAAGGGATGGTGGAGGGGTAATGATGATGAAGCTTCAAATGCACAGCTGCCTTGCTTTCCTTGCCTTTCAGATTTGGCAATACGACGGTGCCCTAATCTAACCTCTATGCCGCTGTTTCCTTCTGTTCGGGAGCTGCGTTTGAAAGAAACCAGCTGGAAGCAACTCCAAGAGACAATGAAATTGAAGATGACAACATCAGAAGAACCATCATCTTCTTCGTCTTCTTCACTTTTCCCTCCTTTCTCCAAATTGACAGAATTGAGGCTTGAAGAGATGGAAGATCTGGATTCTCTGCCAGAGGAGTTCCTGCAAAACCTAACTTCTCTTCGATTTCTGAGCATTAGAAATTGCAGTAACTTGACATCAATGCCAAAGGGGATGCGCTTTCTCACCTCTTTACAACGATTGCAGATTGACGATTGTCCCCAGCTATGGGAAAGATGCCAAAGGGATATTGGTGTGGACTGGCCAAATATTGCTCACATTGGAGATATTTGGATTGGTTGGCATGTGATTTGATTAAATCAGGTTCAGGAATGTAGGAACCTTCCATCGCTTACACAGGTTAAGCTAAAATTAAATCTTTTGCTAAAATTCAAATTTTTAGCTAAATTTAAGCAATTGACATATAACTTCCTTACCATCTTTTTTTTTTAATTATTTTTCTTGCTTTTAGTTTTGTTAAATTTAAAAAAAAATAAAATTGAAAGCTAATTTTGGTAATGTATAAATTGATGGAGTTCATCTTACTTTTTTCCAACTACAGACTTTGTTTTTCAAAATTTTAATAATTTTATATTAATTCTTAATTGTTCCCTTATTTTTTTGTTTCAGTTATTTATAGTTCTAGTAATTTATGTATTTTTGTACCTATTTAATATCAAACATATATAAAATAAAAAAATTTGTTGCATCATAAAACAAAAGCTAACAAAAATGAAGTTGGAATAATTTATTTTTTAATTCAATTTAATTTTTAATTCTTTTTCACATACCAAAATCTATTTGTAGTTATTGATTAATGAGAACCAATGAAATGATATTGAGGTGATATTATTTATTTTATTATCCTTCCTATCTCATTTTTTGATCACCTCCTAATTTTTCATTTCCATTTTTCAGTGGATAAGTTTTGGACAAATTATTTCAAGGCTCAGAACAGAGTGAAACTTTGATGCTTCAGCTGCACTTGAATTCAAGAAATAATATCAGCAAATTCTGATGCTGTAAGTCCCGCCAAATGAGGATTTAATCCAACTTATATGTTAGTTTTGTTTGATTAATTTGTTTGCTTGGTGTGCTTATTGGTTTTTCTTTCATATATGTACTATTCAAAATACATTGAGTGTTATTTGATTGTACTTGTAATTTTCATTTTGTAATATATAATTAAGTGTGAATGAATTTGTTTTATGTTCATCAATTCCACATTCCATCTTAAGTTGCTTGCTCATGAAAAGATGATAGAGAACAATTCATTTTACTACATTCCAATTGGGGTAGCAGTTGGGAATGTTGAAAAGTTTTGCATGGATTTTATGCAATCAGATCTCTATGGCAATTGAAAGCTGCCAAGCAAAAGGAATTTCATTTGAAACTCAATGGATCCCTCATTCTTCAACCCAAAGCTAAGATCCATACAAGACAAATCCTTATATCATCGTTTTTGACCCAAAGGGAAGACTTGGAGTGGCTTCTGTCCTGCCTCTTTATTTTGGTTTATTTTGTGGTGTATCATGCACTTCCAATGTGCCCATTTGAAAGAGAACAAAAAAAAAAAAATTATCAAATGAACCTGCAAATTGAATGTCTCGATACCCATTTTCCTAAGGACAATATGATCTCATGCTTTCTTTTTATGGGAGTGATTCTTTTTTATCATTTTGGGTGTCCAATGTTTTCAAATTAAGTTCCTTTTTTTTTTTGCCAGCTTATCTTTTAGACTATCAAGATTAATTTTTTTGGCCAATACTTGTGAGATTTATTGAAGACATTAAAAGTAGCTCCCAAATAAACAAAAGAAATATTAACATAATTTTATTGATAGTGTATAAAATAAATATCCATTTCACTAATAGTAGGCAATAAGATCAAACCACCAATCACTTCATTGTAAAATAATTTATTTTCTTTACAGGTTCAATAGGTCATTTTCAAAATTAAAATTAAATTTAAATTCAAATTCAAAAATTAACATAATTAATTAATTCAATCATTTTTAAGAGTTGATATTTATCATATTTTAATTTAAGTCTTAACATTTATAATCATTTCTCTTTATCTCTTGGCTGTAACATTTTTTATATATAAAAAAAAAAAAAACATTGAAAGGAGCAAAAAGTTAAAAGCCAAATTCAAAACCACCTAATTCATCGTCCCTTCTCACAGCAGTAGAAAAGGACCCAAAAGAACCAATGTGAGCTACCTCAATTTTTAAAATTTTTTATGGAGGAAATGTCGAAGAAAATATATATTTGAATTCTCTCCTTCTAACCAAACAGAAAAAAAGGTGATGATAAAATTTTATATGAAATTAAAAGTTAGTTTAGCACTTTTGCGATTAAAAGAAATTAAAATTGAAAAAGTACATTTAAAAAATGTTATACAAAATATGATTAAAAAGTTTAGATATTTAGTACTATTGTGAAAAATGTTTTAAATAATTGAAATATCTATAAAAATCTATAAAAATAATTAAATATTAAAAATATAAAATAATATAATAATTTTTTTATTTCAAAAGTACTTTTTCATGGCAAAGCACCTTTTGAGATTTTTTTTTTAATTTAAATTACAGACTTTAAATTGAAAAGTCATTTTTTTTTTGTTGTTTAACATCAAAGTTGAGTCAAAAGTTACCTCCATTTCTCCTACAGCAGTAAAAAAATGGGCCGTAACAGATTTTATCACATAGTCAATTGCTATTATACTCAACAAAGAATAAGCTTACCAAACTACAACACAGGACTACTTATAAAACTTCAAATAATATTAAGCACTTAGGCATGCCTTTCAACCTCCAGGTTTCCTGGAAATCCCACTCAAAACAACATGTAACTCATGCGTGTTCCACTGCATGATAAATTTTTGAAACTCGTCGATGAAGTAATGGTTCTAGTCGAAACGATGGAATCTTGCTTTGCCCTCTCTATTTCTCCTCTTCTTTGCTTCACTGTCACTGTTTCTCGTCTCTGTATGAAAACCCTGAAAAAAAAAAAAACTTTTAAAAATCTTGTCTTTTTAGCTCTGTTAATCACTGCTTAAGAACAAACCCATTTTCTACTTAGAAAACTAACTGAAAGTTATTAACCCATTACATTCCCCTCCTTTTTTGTTTGCTTTGGCTTCTTCAAATCGAAAGAAGCTCTGCAAATTTCAATTTATTTTTTGGAAAAATTTTTTTGGGGTTGGGTTTTGGAGTGGAAATGTGAGCAAAGAGCTATTTTTATATTTTCTGTGATACTCTTTATTTGAATTTAAAAAATCCTTTAAAAATTACTATCTTATGACATATTTTTTGTATTTTTTTCTTACTACCGAATTTTTTTTTTGATTTTTCTATTTTCATCCATGTCCAAAACATAATTTTTCAATAAGTTAAAAATACATTATCTTGAGTGATTCGATTCGCCTAGAGAAACACCAAACTTTGCTGAACTCTTAAGCCTAAAAAGATTAAAGCTTAGACGTTGCACAAGTTTGGTAGAAGTTCATCAATCCATTATCACGATTTGCAAGAACTCGAGGAAACTTGTGAATAAACTTGACAATTTTAAATTTAATACAAAAAGTAGATATAAAAACAATCTATGAAAAGATATGAAAATAATACAATTTAAAATTTTAATAAATTTAAATATATATTTTTTCTTTGATCGATTGACACAAACTGTTAATTGATAATTTTAACATTATACACATTTAGACATCATATATATATATATATCGTTAGTGGACTGCATTTATGTTTTAAGATGTCTTAAAATTATCATTGTTAATAATTGCACAAAACTTTACACTTTGAGGTTTCTATTGAGATATGATACAGAGTTATTGTGAAGAAACTTAATAGACCGTATGACATATGTGTGGCCATGGTGCTGAGTAAGTTAATCCCAATTTCAGTCCATTCCACATTTTGAAACTTTTGATAATTAGTCACAGCATTCAAAGCCAAGGAAACAAAAGATATTCCTATAAGCTACACCAAGCAATTCTCTTAACATGGAGTATTAGACAACTAGAAGTAGATCATCAGATCATGTCTCTTCATCTTGCATTTGACTTGTATTTGGTGTGTAACAGAGAAGTAACTCTTACCAATGGGAGTTTTTATGGAATAGATCTAACAAGATGCTCTTGATTTAAAAAGCTTAAAAACACCCTCATATGTCAACCCTTGAAATCAAATATAATGATTTAGCACAACACCAAAAAAGTCTAAGGATACAACTATGTGAGCACACTTTACAACATTCTTAGCCCACATATAAGCTATTGCAGCGAACCGACAACAATCCCTAGAGTGTACAGAAAATTGCTCTATGCTGTGGCAAATGGACATTGCAAGTGCTAATGTGGATTTTCAACTAAAGTAGGGCTTTCATGTATGTAATCTATATGCATTGTAAGTGAGACGCACAACATTTGCAAAGCTTACTCTCATTAAACACTTTTAAATGCGGACATACCAATATTATATACATTGACTATGCTCTCCTAACAACATCAGAATTACCAAATTTTTTAGAACTAAATACTCCACAATTAAAGCATATTCCAAAATCCTTTCAAAGCTAAGTTAGCTCAATTCATTTTCAGTTATAATATTATTTTGAGGCAAAGGTTGCAGTTTTCATTTTGGATTACTTACATTGAAGCTTTTCGATTTGAGTACTTAATATAACTTTTGCCTCTTTTTGATTCTTCCTATTTGTTGATGAACTTTATTCTTGGGGAAAGAATTTTTCCTTAATAGAGGACAGAGAATTTGACATTTTCATCAGTTATAAATAGGACAAAGTTAGCTTACTCACAGCTAATATTCTGGCTAATGAAAGGTAAGATTGAGCAGCCACTTTTGCAACACAAATTGTAACAACACCATTGGTCATTTCCTTCTTTTTTGAGTAAAATTTTACTGTAAACTTGAATGCCTGAAAGGGCAATATTTCATCAATTAGCATGATGCCCAAGTATGATGAATAAAACACTTCAAAAAATTTTGATTTGTCCAAGAGTTCAAAATTTTCCTCATTGATCTTTTAAGACAAAATAAATATAAAAGAAAAAAATTATAGCATGGAATCACAAACATAAGGTATAGCCACTGATACCATATAAAGTTTGAACTTCACATATAATAGGCTCAGACTACAATGTATAAAATCATTACCTCCATCTATGGCTTTAACTCCAAGAAGGACCTTTGCAAGACTTTCTACTTCCAACATCTCAAAGAATGAAGCATAATGGTGAACATCCTACCAAAAGAAAATGTCTAAAAAAATTAGATGATT